ACATTATTTTGTTATGTAATTAATTCGGTCAGCATTTTATAAAAAAAACATCATAAGAATTGCATAAAATAATATGCACAATTATAGTGTATTTTAAGTTAATATTTGTTTGCAATTGCTTCAATAAATAAATATATTTTTGCTTTACCATAATTAAAAATATGAACTAGATTATACCCAGTGGTTATTTGTATATAGTTATTATTAAAAGTCANTGCTTTACCATAATTAAAAATATGAACTAGATTATACCCAGTGGTTATTTGTATATAGTTATTATTAAAAGTCAATTTCAAAAACTGATAACATAATTAATGATAATTAAGTTTTTATTAAGAGAAAAATTTTCTATTACTCATTAACTATTACTTTTTTTAACAAATCCACTGTTTTTGTTGTTTAGGTCGCCTTTTTTTTAATACAAATAATAATAAATTGTCAATCTTTATTATCATTATGTCTTAGAATTGAATAAATAATATACACAATAGAATTAATAAGTTAATAAATACTAAGCACACTTAATTGTGATTTCAGAAATTAAATTTACAGAATAATTATTCCATTTTGTCAACAGTATGTTTAACTTATAAATAAGTAATACTTATAAATAATTCAAGGAATAAATCATTTTATTATTAAAATGTTTGATATCTAAATATATACAACTTAATCTAAGTATAAAAAAGTATGATGGTAGTTAAATACATTTTATCTTAAAGAGAAGTGAAATAATTCTGTAAATTTTAAGTTGTATTTTTTAACTATTATTTTTTAAACTTAACAATAATAGTTAATTGTATAACATCAAAAAGACATGTGTATTTAACTTTATATATATATAAAAAAAAAAAATGTAATGATCGAGTACAAATAATAGCATTATCTAGATCCTATTAGTACAATCTAGTATCATTCGACACGATAATTACTGATATATTAACCTAAATCAATGTTGGATAGTTGTATGTTTTGTTGCTCATTTCTAGCCATAAAATATGATGTATCATCTATACTACCAGGAGTTGGAACAAATGGAGGAACTTCATATAAAAGGTTGTCCCAATTAATGTCAGAGAAAAGATTAGTAGAGGATCTAATGGTGGATCCCGACAATCTTTCATTTTGGTCCATAGCCATAAGACCATTAATAGCTTCCATCGCTTCTCTAGACAAAGTCTGATCTCCAGATGGCCATTCTAATTCTATATTCATTAATTGTTTTATGAGAACAATATAGTTTCATTTATATTTTATTCATAAAATATTTCCTTATTAAAAATGTAAAAGTCAGTATTTTAACATAAATACTGTCGTCTTAATAAGAAATAAAAATTTCTATAAATATAAAATGACAAATTAACAAATTAAAAAATAATAATAAACAAGACCAATAGTAATGTTCTACACTAATCAAACTATTATACAATTTATTTACCACGTCGTAAAATATCTTCAAATATTTCTTGAACTGTATCTCCTTCAAATGGAACAACGCCAGTCATAAATTCATACAAGCACACTCCCAATGCCCACCAATCAACTCCAGATCCTTAAATTTTTTTTTACTAGGTATTATAAATAATTTACTAGTAGGGCAGCATTGATACAAATTTTTTTAATTCTCTAACTATTACATGTTTTTCTAGAGAATTGTTAAAAATTTCTATACTTAAACATGTGGACATAATTTGGTCATTTGTTGAAGGGGTGGTGAATTCAAATTATTTATTTTTTATCAATTTTATTAAAAAATGTACACTGTATTAAGCAACATCAATTAATGTTATTTCCATAGGCAGTTAAGTTATTTTTTAAATTGTAATTTGAATTTTCCTGATAATCACCAAATAAAAATATTTCACAAATTGATTTTTTGACTTGACCATCTTCTCATAAAACTGTCCATTTATAAAGAAAAGTTTAAACAACCCTCTATTTTGAAAATGATGTTATGTGTGAAATTCAGTTTTTCATGCAAACAAAAATATTATTTTATATAATAAATTAATAGATAGTAATAACTTATCTACAGAAAACATTGATTTTAATCAAGACATAGTTTCATATCTTGATATACATATTTACCATGTTCCATTCCTTGAATTAATTCTGGTGCTAAATAATAAGGCGTTCCTAATATTCTACCATCACTTGCCCTTTTACCTTTCCTCAATGATTTAGGTGTTCTATAAGGAGTGAGTTTTGGCAAAAAAGGTGTTGCAATAGGACTCATTATGAGTTCATCCTAAATATGAATAAAAAAATAATGTACTTATCATTTTTAATTTAAAAAAATAATTGTGATTTTTAATAATACCATGTGAGTTCGTTTAATGAAAGATGGAGAATGAGTTGGTGTAGGTAAACAGAACCTAGTGTTTTTTAAATTTTTTGGTGTATCCCCATATGAACGTTTTCGAGAACATTGAACTGGTGTTGAAATAGCAACTCGACCACTACTTAATCGTTCATCAACTCTTTAAAATAAATTATATATCAATAGTGCAGTGTGAATAAATATCTAAGAATAAAACTAACTTCAATTTCATAGCACTTTTTACTGCTGAATTTGGAGTATTTGGTGTAATATGGGATAGATCCACTTGTTTTATTTGTTGTGTGAGACCACAACTATTCATTGTATTATTTTCTAAATCACGAAGTGGTAATATTCTTCTTCTATAACGTCTAAGTGAATCTGTTCTTGATTTAAACCTTTTACTGAAATATTAAATAAATATTCAATTTTTTATAGTTTATATGACCACAAAAAAAATTTATGATACCTTTATATTTGTATTAATTTTTTATTAAAAAAAATAATAATTAAGATTACCATTCACCTAAGATTTGTAGTTGAGCAAGGAGTATCATGAGGTTTATCCTGTATTTTACTACATCCACATTCAGTACCAATGCTGCAATTTTGACAAGTAAAAAATGTAGTTCCTTCTAATGTGTTATTGGCTGATTGAAATGGTACAATACCAGACACATGACTACTATTATAATCATCATCATCTTGATCCATATTAAGTTTCATCATACTGCTATTATTACTACTATAATGAGTTTTTTCGTTTGACCCCTAGTAAAATTAGTGTTTTTAAAAATATTTAATCTTTGGAGAAAGAATAAATTAACTTACAAAGGAAAAATGAGATGTTAAAGAGAGTAATTGACCAGGTGTTCTTGTAGGTACATTTGGTGAACTATTTATTAAATCTTTGATTTCTAAATCTATAATGAAAAAGAGAATTTTATGGTAATGTTTTTAAGAATGAAAATGAAGTTTTTGATTTTATTAGATATTAGATATTAATACCTCTATGTATTGTAATTCGGCTTAATCCAAAATCTGTTAGTTTTATATGACCTTGACCTGATATTAACATATTGTCAGGTTTTAAATCTCTATGAACAATACCATGACTAAAAAAAAAAAAATATTTAATTGTGCTAATTTATTTACAGTAATCTTACATATAAGTTTCATCTAAAATGTTTTTTTACTCTAAATTTTAAATATTTATAGGGAGGGTTTCTTTAAATTTAGTATTAATGTAAAAGGTATATTTTTTAAAACGTAGACCCCTTTTCTCCTTGAAAAAATTTGTCTAGTTTTCAATGATTTATGATAAATTATTATTTAAATTTGTATTGAAATTATAATCAACTAATGAAGGTTAAAATAATCACTTTCTTTAAGTATAATCGCATTTAAGTGTTTTACGATAGTGATTTTAATCACTGTCAAATTTTAATCCATTATGACAGATTCCATTATGCTGTGTCCTGACTATACTGAATTTATATATTTTTGAACTACCATAAATAAAATTATTTTATATATTTTCTATAAATTTATTTAATTGAGTATAGAAAAACAACACCATAAACTATACTGTGAGATGTGTTTGTACTATATTCATGAATGCTAAAGTTTTAAATTTTGTAATAAAATAATTGATTTTTATTTTTCACCTGTGTAAATATTGTAGCGCTAATGCAACTTCAGCAGCATAAAATGTAGCTACATCTTCAGTAAAATATCCCATTACACTTAATAATGACTTCACGTCTCCGCCAACCATATATTCCATAACCTAAAATTTGACATAATAATTAAATAAATTTCTTATTAGATGTCCAGAATGTATAAATTCAATATTTTAAATAAATTACTAGGTAAATACAGCTTGAAGTCTGCAAAGAGTAAAATAGTTTAACACAAAAAGGACTATTAGCTAAAGCTAAAGCATTTCTTTCATTCACCACTAAAAAATTTGAAAAAAAAAAAAAATGTGGTTAATTAAAAGTAATATATATATATATACATATTCTAAAAAACATACCCTGTGTTATCATATTCTTGTTAATCATGTCTGTTTTTTTCATTACTTTAATAGCATACATCTGTTCTAAATTATTTTTCTTATGACCCAGATATACTTTTCTAGTAAATTAAATAGTTCATAATTATAAATTTTGTTCTTTTTTCTCGCCTTAATCCCAACTACTTGGGGTTGGCCGTCCTTATTCTAAACTTCTACTTGACACAATCTCCCACATCATCTACGATCACATCAGCCGACCGACCTCAAATCGCATTCAATTACCTCCCTCTATTTCTTTTTTGGTCTTCCTCTACCTCTTCTTTCTTCAACATTCATTTCTATAACTGTTCTTACTGCTTCCGATTCCTCTCTCCTCATAACAGATATATTTCTAATGATTTTTTTTTGGTTACTCTTTATACAGTTATTTTTCAAAATACTCTTTCCACCATTTTTTCACATCACTTTCGTTTGTTAGCACTCTCTTATCATCACTTTTTATAAACTTTACATTGTGATAATCTTTAAACCGTTTTTCTCTTACTCTTAGCGTTGGCTTGTACACATGACTGGTGAAACAGCTACCGTACAAGTTGTCCATCTGGTATCAAATACTTTATTCTTTAGGCCTTTTCTAACTATTTTATTTCCTTTCACTTATTGTTCCCAAGTACATATGCGATGGGACAATTTCAAAAAATGTTCTGTTTAAGACCTACATACTTTTTGCCAAAATTTTACACCAGCTATCGACTTGACGCAACTTCATTAGTCAACTCTTAAGAAGTATTCTTATTCCTCTTCCATGGAGAATTCATTATTATAAAATACAAAATTTCATTTTCTTTTTAAAGCGCAATGAAAAAATGTATAAGTAGAATTAAAAAGTGAAAAATATTGAAAATTGATGTTTAAAAATTTGTAATTATTTTATATTTTTCAATACTTTGTGTAGGAAAGAGAACAGAAATTATTGATATGTAATAAAACACATGGCACTGTATAATATGCCACAAATTTACCATCCAAAACTAAAAAATATTCATACCTTAGAAAATTTGTTATTTTTGAAAAAGGAGGGTTTGGTTTCAAGGAAAGTTATATAAATTTATAATAAAACTGTAATAATAGCATAATCAATGTTTAATGTATAAACTAGTCAATTATGTATGTTGCTATATAAGAAAATAACGCTATCCTCATAAGACAAAAGAAAATTCTAAAGTATTTGTACCCAAGAAAGAAAAAATTTTCAAATAATTTTTATATTATTTTATTACTTCACAATAATCACCTACTATGAAATTATATTATAATTTAAAATTCATGATTTTGTAAAATATTATATACATACAATCTTTTCTTTTTTACATTTTAGTCATAAGTTTCCAGGTTATTTACTTACCCAAAAGCTCCTTTACTAATAGGTTTAATAACATTGAAATCACTTATATCAGGATACTAATAAAAAAATAAATGAATATAATTAATATTAGTAATTTTTACAACTGAATGAATACAAAATCAAATAAAAATAATT